CTGGAGCTGGGGACATGGAGATGGGGATGGGGACATGGAGATGGGCTTGTGGGGCTCACCCTTTCCCCCTCCCTGGGGACCCCAACACTGCTCCCTCCCCCACGCAGGTACCAGCTCCGTAAGATCGTGGTGGACAACGCAGCGGGGCCGTGGGGCAACCACACCGTGGTGTTCCTGGGCTCCAGCACCGGCACCGTGCTCAAGTTCCTCATCCTGCCCAACGCCACCAGCAGCCCCGCGCCCGCCGCCCCCGGCAGCCAGAGCGTCTTCCTGGAGGAGTTTGAGACCTACCAGCCCGGGAGGTGAGTGCCAGGGTGCCAGAGGAAGGAGAGGGGGGATAAAACAGGGTGGGTGGGGTGCAGGGACGGATGGATGGATGGATGGATGGATGGATGGATGGATGATGGATGGATGGATGGATGGATGGATGATGGATGGATGGATGGATGAATGGATGGATGGATGGATGGATGGATGGATGGATGGATGGATGGATGGATGATGGATGGATGATGGATGGATGGATGGATGATGGATGGATGGATGGATGAATGGATGGATGATGGATGGATGATGGATGGATGGATGGATGGATGATGGATGGATGATGGATGATGGATGGATGATGGATGATGGATGGATGGATGGATGGATGGATGGATGATGGATGGATGATGGATGGATTGATGGATGATGGATGGATGATGGATGGATGGATGATGGATGGATGGATGGATGGATGGATGGATGGATGGATGGATGGATGGATGGATGGATGGATGGATGGATGATGGAGAAGATGGGTCAGAGGGATGCAAGGCTGGTGAGAATGGATGAAAAAATCTCCTCCAGACTGGGACAGGCTCTGTGGAGGGCCCTGTAGCCCCGGGCTGGGCCATGACGCGCTCTGGCCTGTCCCCAGGTGTGGCCGGGACACGGAGGACGAGCGGCGGCTCCTGGGGCTGGAGCTGGACAAGGCTGCGGGCTCCCTGCTGCTGGCCTTCCCCCCGTGCGTGGCCAGGGTGCCCGTGGCTCGCTGCCAGCAGCACTCGGGCTGCATGAAGTGAGTGCCTCGGGCTGGGCAGGGCTCAGCGGTGGGGGGTGAGGAGTGGGGGGCTCACATCACCCCCCATGCCAGGAATTCACCCTGCGCTGGGCACGGCTGGGCACAGCTGGGGAAACTGAGGCACAGCAGGGTGCAGGGTCCCTTGCTGGGGTGGGGGTGTTGTGTCCCCTTCTCGGGGTGACCCTGACATCTCTGCTCCCTGCCAGGAACTGCCTGGGGAGCCGGGATCCCTACTGTGGCTGGACACCCGAGGGCTCCTGCATCTTCCTGGAGCCCAGCCCCAGGTGAGGCTGCCAGGCCTGGGGACGTGCCGGGGGGAGGGACAGTGGTGTCCCCAGCGAGCACCAGCTCCAAATCGTTGAGCCCCAATAAATGAATTGCTCGCTGAAAGGAGCTGGGAGACTCTGCCAGGCCATTTGAGCCCCACTGACTCCCCCAAATTTGCACCCCCAGGGTGGCCTTCGAGCAGGACATCACCGGCGGCAGCACGTCCCACCTGGGCGAGTGTGAGGGTGAGTGTGGGGCTGTGAGCGGGCTGGGGACACTGCGGTGGCACCCACGGCTCACAGGGGCTGTGAGTGGGTTGGGGACACGGCAGTGACACCCACGGTGACGTGGCGGTGGCACCCACAGCTCACAGGAGGGGCTGTGAGCGGGCTGGGGACACGGCGGTGGCACCCACGGCTCACAGGAGGGGCTGTGAGCGGGCTGGGGACACGGCGGTGGCACCCACGGCTCACAGGGGCTGTGAGCGGGCTGGGGACACGGCGGTGGCACCCACGGCTCACAGGGGCTGTGAGCGGGCTGGGGACACGGCGGTGGCACCCACGGCTCCCCTGATGTGTCCCCCACCCCCAGGGCTGGTGACGGAGAGCTTCGTGGACGAGCCGGACGGGCTGGTGTCGGTGAACCTTCTGGTGATCTCCTCCGTCGCCGCCTTCGTGATCGGCGCCGTGATCTCCGGTTTCAGCGTGTGCTGGTTCATCGGGCACCGGGACCGCAAGGAGCTGGCGCGGCGCAAGGACAAGGAGACCATCCTGGCGCACAGTGAGTCGGTGGTGAGCGTCAGCCGCCTGGGCGAGCGCCGGGCCCGCGGTGCCCTGCTGGCCCCGCTGATGCCCAACGGGTGGCCCAAGGAGCTGGGCAAGGTCACCCAACACGACCTGGACTCGGGGGTGCTGCCCACGCCGGAGCAGACCCCGCTGCAGCAGAAACGCTGCCCCGGAGCTCTGCAGAACTGCACGTGGGAGCAGAGCCACAACATCATCAACGCGGCTTTGCGGGACCCTGGAGGCTCCGGCCCCGCGGGCACCGGGCGGGGGCACGGCGGCTCCGGCCGCCCGCCGAGGGGCATCCCCCTCTCCTGCCACGCCATCCTGGTGGACCAGGAGCTGGAGGCCGAACTCAGCGACTCCTCGGGTGACGGGCATTGGGCTCGAGACCCGCAGGAGGGTCCCCGCAGCCGGCAGCACCCACCCGCCGCCGGTGCCCGCCGCCCGCCCCGCAGCTCCTACGGCGACTTCGGCGGGACGCCGCACCCCAGCCCCGAGCGCCGGCGGGTGGTCTCGGCACCCAGCGGGGACGGGGGAGACTTTACCGAGGGGCCGCCCTGGCACCCCGAGCAGCTGAACTTCAACGCCAACAACGGCACGGGCCGCCCCGGCGCCCACCTCAAGAGGAACCACACGTTCAACAGCGGCGAGGCGGCGGCGGGAGGCTACGGGAGGCACGGCACGGCAGCCCGGGCAGCCCGGGCACCGGGCACCCCGCGGCCGCTGACGGACCTGCAGCACCTCCTGCGCTACGGCGTGGAGCGGACTCCCTCGGGAAAATAGGGGGCCACCCTGCGTGCGCCCCCCGAGCCGGGACACTGATGGGGACCCCCGAGGGGACAGCGAGGGGTGGCCGGGCAGGAGCTGCGGGCGTGGGGTGAGGTGCTACGTGGGTGAGGGGGGGACAGGCACCCCCTGGGTGCCCCCGGAGAGGGTTTGGGGGTGTGCCCGGCTGGCGTGGGGCAGTGCCCTGCGCTCCGGCTGCGTTGTCCCATAAGCCGGGGTGGGGTGCCCACCGTGTCCCCCCCCCAGGCTGGGCCCAGGGCTCGCAGCGCACCCCTGGGGGGCAGCGGGACGGACCCACGGGCACTGGGCTGTGCCCCCCAGCCCGCACCCCACAGTGGCACCCGCAGGGGGGTTTGGGTGCTGCCAACCCCCCGGGGACACCCGGCCCGGGGTGCGTTGGTTGTGGTGATGGAACCCGGTGAACATTTTGGGTGCGGGGGGACTGGGGGTCCCCCCGAATGTGGCGTTATCCGGGGGTGGGGCATACTCCCACCCCCAGTCTGGGGTCAGCCCTTTCCCAGTGCCAGCCTGGGGGTTGCCCATCCTTCCCCCCGCCCCGGCACCCCCTCCTGGAAAGCACAGCCGGGCTGGGGGGGCACCGCTGGGGGGTCCCCACCGAACCCACTCTCTGCTGGCAAAGGGTGCCCTTTCGGTGCCACCCCTGCCCCGCACCCACCCGGGGTGGCGTGTCGCGGCGGGCGGGAGTGGCAGATCCCCGGGGGATGGCAGGTCCCCAGGGGTGGCAGGCTGTAAATAGGGCAGGGGGCGGCGGGAGCCCCCCCAGAGCGGCCATGCATGCGGCCGCCCGCGGGCTGTACCCCGCCGCCCCAATAAACACCCGGTTACCGGAGGCGACTCCCCCGCCGCCGCCTCGGCACCTTCTTAACCCCCCCGGGAGCGGGACCGGCCGGGACGGGGGCACAGGGCTGGGGGGCACAGGGTGGCACCCCCTCCGTGGGCACCGCACTGCCCACACGCACCCACCCGCGCTCAGCCCCTCCCCACTCACCGTGTCCCGACCCCACGAGGGTCCCATCCCACTTTCCCTGCGAATTCCCCCGGGATAAGGCAGTGCTGGCGCCGTGTCCCTGCCCGTGCCACCCCACACCCGCCGTGTCCCTGCCCGTGCCACCCCACACCCGCCGTGTCCCTGCCTGTGCCACCCCACACCCGCCGTGTCCCTGCCCGTGCCACCCCACACCCACCGTGTCCCCTGCCTGTCCCCTTTCCCGGCTGTCTCCTGCCCCACGGGGCCACCCACAGGGGTCACCCACGGTCCTCTGCCCCCTCTGCAGGGGCTGGGGGACACCGGGCACCCTGAGGGGCTCTGGTGGCACGGGAACACCCGGGCTGGGGACATCCGGCAAAGGGACACTTGGCGGGGGCACAGCTGGCCTTGGGTTCCTTGGGGCTGGGGACGCCGTGGGTGGGGACATCTGGCGTGGGGACACCAAGGGTGGGGACATCTGGCGTGGGGACCCTTGGGCTGGCGGCTATCGGCTCATCCTTCAGCCGCGATGGGGACACTCGGAGCGGGTGGGGACAGCGGCCATTGAGTCCCTTGAGAGGGGAACAAGCGGCAAGGACACACGTGGCAAGGGGACACCTGCGATGGGGACACCGGGGGTGGCGATAACGGCGGTGGAACAGCGGCCACGGGGTCCCTCGGCGCGGGGACACGTGAGAGGTGACCGGGGGCTGGGGGGTTCTGTCCCCACGCTGTCCCCGATGTCCCCCCGATGACCCCTCACTGTCTCCCCGATGTCCCCTCGCTGTCCCCCCGATATCCCCCCGATGTCCCCCCACGTCCCCCCGCTGTCCCCCCGCTGTCCCCCCGCGATGTCCCCTCGCTGTCCCCCCGATATTCCTCCGATGTCCCCTCTCTGTCCCCCCGCTGTCCCCCCTATGTCCCCCCGATGTCCCCCCGCTGTCTCCTCGCTGTCCCCCCGATGTCCCCCCGATGTCTCCTCGCTGTCCCCCCGATGTCCCCCCCATGTCCCCCCTATGTCCCCCCCCACTGTCCCCCACTGTCCCCTCGCTATCCCCCCGATATCCCCTCTCTGTCCCCCCCCATGTCCCCCCGCTGTCCCCGGACCCCGCGCCCCATCCCAAGCCCCGCCCCCGACCACGCCCACCCCTCCTCATTGGTGGCTCTCCTGCCCCGCCCCTTCTCTGATTGGCTCCCGCCGCTCCCCGGCCCGGGTGGGCGGGGCCCCGGTGTCGCGATCGGGCCCGGGGGTCGCGACAGGAGCCCCCCCCCCCCCCACCGTGAGTACCGTGCCCGGGGCTCGGCGGGACCGGCAGGGCGGGGAACGGGCCGGGGGCGTCCCGGGAGGCTCCGAAAGGCTCAGGAGGTCAGGAGTCCCCGGAACACCCCCGGGACACCGGAGGGGCGCCCCTAGAAACGCAAGGGAACAAACCCAGGATCCCAAGGGACCTGTCCCCCGCGGGGACCTGCCTGAAGCCCCCCGAATCCCCCCAGAACTCGTCCCCCGGAGAGCACAGGGCCAGGTCGGGGGTGCCACGGGAGACCCCAAAGGGCAGAGGGGATGCTGGGGGCCCAGGGGTGCTACGGGGTCCGGGGGGGCTGCCGGGGTCTGGGGGTGCTGCTGGGGTCCCGGGGGTGCTGCCGGGGTCCGGGGGGGCTGCCGGGGTCCGGGGGGCTGCGGGGGTCCCGGGGGTGCTGCCGGGGTGCGGGGGTGCTGCCGGGGTGCGGGGGGGCTGCCGGGGTCCCGGGGGTGCTGCCGGGGTCCCGGGGGGCTGCCGGGGTCTGGGGGTGCTGCCGGGGTCTGGGGATGCTGCCGGGGTCCCGGGAGGTGCTGCCGGGGTCTCGGGGGGCTGCCGGGGTCCGGGGGGCTGCGGGGGTCCGGGGGTGTTGCCGGGGTCCGGGGGTGTTGCCGGGGTCCCGGGGGTGCTGCCGGGGTCCGGGGGTCTGCCGGGGTCTGGGGGTGCTGCCGGTGTCCGGGGGTCTGCCGGGGTCCCGGGGGTGCTGCCGGGGTCCGGGGGCTGCCCCGGCCGAGGCGGCGGTGAGGAGCGGCACGTCCCCAGCGCAGGATTGCGACACAGGAGTGTCCGGTCTGACTTCAGCTGAATCACCCAAAAACTCCTCCCTGGCCCCAAAAGGGGCGTGGGGATCCCGGAGTGGGTAGAGGAGTTGAGAGGACCCAGTTCCCCCATTTCCTGGCAGGGAAGAAGGGAAACCCCATCCCAAAACCCCTTTCAGACCCCTCACAACACCCCCGAGAGCCCCTCAGACCCCCCCAGCCGCTCCCACTCGGGCCATGAGCCTCGTGGAACAGGGGCTGGGGGCGCCTGTGGTGTCACCCCCGGGGGGGTCCCCACCAGTCTCACCCACCCGTGGCACCCCAAAATCTCCCTCTTCCCACAGCAGCCACCGCTGCTGCCATGTCGGTGGAAAACACGGCTGAGGCCGGGCTGGAGACGAAGGTAGGGGTGCGTGGAAGGTTTTGGGGGGCCTGTGGGTGGCTCTGAGGACCCCATCTCATTGTCCCCCACTTTCAGAGCGCGGTGACACGCGTGGCCGAGCTGCCCCTGCTGAGCTGTGCCTGCGGGGCCGTGGCCTCGGCCTATGGGGGCACCAAGGAGAGGCTGCCCTGCCTGCGCCCCGTGTGCCACGCGGCCGAGAGGGGCCTGAAAACGCTGACAGCAGCAGCAGCCAGCGGGGCCCAGCCCCTCCTCACCCGCCTGCAGCCCCAGAGTGAGTGCAGGGAGGGGGACAGCACCCCACGGGGCTGGGGGACCCCCCAGTTCTTGCTCTGGTGAGGAAACAGGAGAGGGGTGATCTGTTTTTTTGTCTCTGGTTCGTATGGCTGAGGAATAAACAGCTGGAGAAGCTGAAAGATGTAGGGGCAGCACCCCCTGAATTTTGGGGTGATGGGAAATCGGCCCTAGCAGAGCTCCTGCAAGGCAGCAGGGTGCTAACCCCACCTCTTTTCCCATCTCCAGTTTGTATCATGAATCTCCAGGTTGTGTCAATGAATAAAGGGCTGGAGAAGCTGGAGGGTTGGAGGGGAAACACCCCACAAGTTTTGGGGGAGCCCAAAACCCTTCCCTAGAGCAGAGCTCCTGCAAGGCAGCAGGGTGCTAACCCACCTCTTTTCCCATCTCCAGTTTCCACCGCCAATGAACTGGCCTGCAAAGGGCTGGACAGGCTGGAGGAGAAGCTGCCCATCCTGCAGCAGCCCCCCGAGAGGGTAACGCCACCCCGGGGCACACGGGCAGGGCTCAGCGTGGGGCGAGGAGCGGGCACGAGCTGTCCCTGCGCTGTCCCCTGGCAGGTGGTGGCCCGGAGCCGGGAGCTGGCGTGGGGCGCGGTGAGCGCGGCGGTGACCAGGACACGCTGGGCACTCGGGGCCGTGACGGGCACCCGCGTGGGGCGGCTGCTGGCCACGGGCGTGGGCACCGTGCTGGGCAAGTCACAGGAGCTGCTGGATCGGTACCTCCCCGCGGCACAGGAGGAGCGGGGTGAGTGCCCACCATCCCCCAGATCTCGGGGTGCCAAGCCCTTCCTGGCACCCTCACCCCGTGCTCGGTCTCAGCGTTGGCACTGTGGTGCCAGAGCACTGAGGCCACCGTGGCCCCACGCAGGGGACAGTCCCCGTCCGAAGGACGAGGATGGCACCGGGTGAACTCTCACCTGGAAATCCAAAAGCAAACACGGTCCCGTGTGCCCGCCTGGGTATTTATAGCTTGGCACTGGGTAACACCAGGCAGAGCTCAATGTCGCGGCTCAAGTGACCGCAGAGGCCACCTGGCTTAAGGTGGCATCTCCACATGAGCTGCTGGCCAAGCATCCCGTGGGGGCTCACGCTGGGCTCCAGTCCCAGCAAGGATGGCCCAGCCACGCTGCCCTCACCCCGGTCCCACAGCGGCAACGACGGGCACGGAGGTGACCATAGGCATGGAGGTGACCACGGGCATGGAGGTGACCACGGGCACGGAGGTGAAAACGGGCACGGAGGTGACCACAGGCACGGAGGTGACCACGGGCACGGAGGTGACCACGGGCATGAAGGTGACCAGGGGCACGGAGGTGACCACAGGCACAGAGGTGACCACAGGCGCAGAGGTGGCCACAGGAACGGAGGTGACCAGGGGCACGGAGGTGACCACGGGCACAGAGGTGACCACGGGCACGGAGGTGACCACGGGCACGGAGGTGACCACGGGCATGGAGGTGACCACGGGCACGGAGGTGGCCACAGGAACGGAGGTGACCAGGGACACAGAGGTGACCACAGGCACGGAGGTGGCCATGGGTACGGAGGTGACCAGGGGCACAAAGGTGACCAGGGACACGGAGGTGGCCACGCAGGAGCGGCACAGGCGGTGGCAGAGCTACTTTGTCCGCGTGGGCTCCCTGTCAGCCCGGCTGCCTCACCGTGCCCTGCGGCGCTCGCTGGGGGACCTGCAGCGGGCACGGCTCCGTGCCCGGCGCCTCCTGGCACAGCTCCACCACGTCATCCAGCTGGTAAGGATGGGGTAGGGACGGTGCCAGCCCCGTGGCGGCCCCAGGCACCCCCAGGTGTGCTCCCAGCTGGCTGAACCTCCCCCCAGATCGAGGAGGGGCAGCAGGGCACGGATGGGCCCTGGCACAGCACCCGGGAGCACCTGCACCACCTGTGGCTGGAGTGGAGCCAGCAGGATGCGGTGCCCATGGAGGACAACGAGGTACGGGCTGGAGGGACCCTGGGGACAGATGGCTCCATCTGGGAGGGTGGGGACACAAGGGGACACCTGGGGTGGTGCCACCTGGAGCAGGGGTGGAACAGCAGCCACGGAGTCCAGCTGTGGGTCCATCATGGGGGGTGGGCTCCATCACCCCCAGCGCCCGCTGCCCACTGCCCACCCCGCAGGTGGAGGCTCGGACTCTGGCCATGCTCCACGGGCTCCTGCAGCAGCTCCACTCCGCCTGCTCCCACCTGGCCAGCGGTGCCCGGGCATTCCCCAGCAGCGTGCAGGAGACGGCAGGACACATCTGGCACGGCGTGGAGGGCGTCCAGGCTTCCCTGGCCGGCGCCCACTCCTTCCAGGAGCTGTCGGGGCTGGTGCTGGCACAGAGCCGGGACGCGGTGACGCGGGCACAGCTGAGCCTCGAGGGGCTGCTGGAGCACGTGGGGCAGCACACGGCCCTGCCCTGGCTCATGGGACCCTTCGCCCCCGCGCTGGTGGAGTACCCGGAGGATGTCCCGGTGGATATGTCCAAGTGGCAGGGCTCTGTCATCGTGGGGGGCACGCACCAGGTGCCCGCTGCCCCCCGGGTCTGCAGCCGCCGCTGAGTCAGTGGTGCCACCCACCCGCAGCTACGAACCCCAATCCCACCGGGAACGGGGATGATGGACGTGGTGACCCGGCGTGGGACCCCATGTCACGGCCGGGGACTCCCGTGGGGATGGTGGCGCGTGGAGGACGCTGTGTGAGTCTGTCTGGGATCCAGGGCTGCCCTAAGCCCCGGGAATGCTGGAATTTCGTGTCTTAACAGCTTCAAACCGGTTTAAAGAGGAAGAAAACAACTTTTTTTGGCCTTAAAATCACTCGGAGCCTGCAGCGCTGTGGCAGAGCCACCCTGGGGGGCTCCGCACGGGCGGCAGAGCGGGGGGCACCCCCGGGCGGGGCTCAACAAGGGGGTGCCAGTGGGATTCCGTGGGGTACTGGGAGAAAGGGTGCCACAAGGTGCCAGGACACCTGGACTGTGCCCCCCCGGCCGTGTGGCACCGGACTTTGTCCCAGTTGTCACAGTGGAGGGGCTGGGCACGCCCCGGGGTTTCCCCGACGTCACAAGCACAGCGTGGTCACAGCAGCCGCTGGGGCGACACCGGGCACCCCAAAACTGCCCATCCTCCGCCGCCGGAACCCCCCGGACCGCTTTCACCGACTGCACCGGGCCAGGTGCGGGGAAACACCGGGACCCCCGAGCTTGGGAGCCGCACGAGGGGAGGGGACGCTTGGGAGGGTCGGGGCGGGTCTGTCCCGGGGATCGGTGCCCGGGAAGGGCGGGGGGCGGGGGGTCCCCAGCTCCGGGCTGGGGGGTCACTGCAGCCGGACCCCGGCGAGTCGCGTCGGTGTAGAGCGGTCCCGGGAGTGTCCGGTCCCCAAGGGGGGTCAGTGCAGCCCGGTACCGGGGGATCCGGTACCGGGGAGAGGGGATCAGTGCAACACCGACCGAGGAACGGGGTCCCGGGGGGCTCAGTGCAGCCCAGTCCCGGCGGATCCGGTGCCGGGCGGGGGACTCGGTGCCGGCCGTTCCCGGGGGTTCGCTGCCCTCCCGGCCGGTCGCTGCTCCCGGTGCGCCCCGGGCCGGCCCCGCTGGGCGGCTCCGGTCACATGCGCTCGGGGCGGGCTCCGGGGTATAAAGGGCGGCGGGGAGGAGCGGGGCGAGCCCGGAGCCGAACCGAGCGGAGCAGAACCGACCCCAACCGCCGGCGGTGAGCACGATCCGGGGCCGGTCCGCGATCCTGGTTCCGATCCCGATTGGATCCCGGTTCCGATCGCAAACTCGGTCCTGTTCCCGATGGCAGTCCCGGTCTCGGTCCCGCTCGCGATCCTACTCCCGATCGTGATCCCGGGCCTGATCCCGTCTGAGATCCCGGCCCCGATCCCGTCTGTGATCCCGGTCCCGATCCCGCCTGTGATCCCGGTTCCGGTCCCGGTCCCGATCCCGTCTGTGATCCCGGTCCCGATCCCGCCTGTGATCCCGGTTCCGGTCCCGGTCCCGATCCCGTCTGTGATCCCGGGCCTGATCCCGATCCCGGTCCCGATCCCGCCTGTGATCCCGATCCCGGTCCCGGTCCCGGTCCCGGTCCCGGTCAAGGTCCCGATCCCGCCTGTGATCCCGGTCCCGATCCCGATCCCGGTCCCGGTCTCGGTCCCGGTCCCGATCCCGCCTGTGATCCCGGTCCCGGTCCCGGTCCCGATCCCGGTCCCATGGACCCCCCCTGTCCCGGGTTTTCCCAACCGCGTGGTCGCTGCCCCGTTCCGGGGAGGGGTGACCGGGGGTCCTCCCTTGGAGAGGCAGGAGGGGGCGTTGGGGGGCCTGACCCCACTGACGATCCCACCTGTGCCCCCCAGCCCCACCATGGCCTCCAGCGAGCCCACGCCAGAGCAGCCCAAGGCAGAGGAGCAGCAGGTCAGTGCGGGGAATTCGGGGAATTCGGGGGCGATCCACGGGGGCCCGGCTTGGAGACGGGGATCGGGGTTATCCCACCCTGCAATGGGCTTGGAGAGCCACGGGGGCACCCCAAATCCATCCCCGGGGTGTTGGGGGCACACAACACGCTCCGTTCCCTGTGAGATTTGGGAGTCCCTCAGTGCCACGCTCACCCTGAGCCCTCCTGGCCCCCAGAGCATCGGGACACGCGTGGCCAAGCTGCCCCTGGTGAGCTCTGCCTGCGACATGGTGTCCTCCGCCTACGCCTGCACCAAGGAGAGCCACCCCTACGTGCGCTCCGTCTGCGATGCGGCCGAGAAGGGCGTGAAAACGCTGACAGCAGCAGCAGCCAGCGGGGCCCAGCCCCTCCTCACCCGCCTGGAGCCCCAGAGTGAGTGCAGGGAGGGGGGACAGCACCCCACGGGGCTGGGGGACCCCCCAGTTCTTGCTCTGGTGAGGAGCCAGGAGAGGGGTGGTCTGGTTTTTTTTTCTCTGGTTCGTATGGCTGAGGAATAAACAGCTGGAGAAGCTGAAAGATGTAGGGGCAGCACCCACTGAATTTTGGGGTGATGGGAAGTTGGCCCTAGCAGAGCTCCTGCAAGGCAGCAGGGTGCTAACCCCACCTCTTTTCCCATCTCCAGTTTCCACCGCCAATGAACTGGCCTGCAAAGGGCTGGACAAGCTGGAGGAGAAGCTGCCCATCCTGCAGCAGCCCCCCCAGAAGGTACCGGGTGGGCTGGGTGGGCTGGGGTGGGGTGGGCAGCACATTCAGAGCCTCCCCAGCGCTTAACAGAGGTTTGTGTGTCCACCAGATCATCTCGGACACCAAACTGCTGGTGACCTCCACGGTGACAGGGGCCAGGGATGTGCTGACCAGCACTGTGGCCGGGGCCAAGGATGCCGTGTCCAGCACCGTGGCCGGAGCCAAAGATGCAGTGTCCAGCACTGTGGCTGGGGCTAAAGATGCAGTGTCCAGCACTGTGGCCGGAGCCAAGGATGTAATGTCCAGCACCATGGCCGGGGCCAAGGATGCAGTGTCCAGCAGGGTGGCAGGGGCCAAAGATGCAGTGTCCAGCAGGGTGGCCGGAGCCAAGGATGCAGTGTCCAGCACCGTGGCCGGAGCCAAGGATGCAGTGTCCAGCGCCAAGGATGCAGTGTCCAGCACAGTGGCCGGAGCCAGGGATGCAGTGTCCAGCGCCAAGGATGCAGTGTCCAGCACAGTGGCCGGAGCCAGGGATGCAGTGTCCAGCACTGTGGCTGGGGCCAAGGATGCAGTGTCCAGCCGAGTGACCGGTGTGATGGACATGACCAAAGGGGCAGTGCAGGGTGGTGTGGAGCTGACCAGGTCTGCGGTCAGCAGCGGCGTTAGCACCGTGGGCCAGATGGTGGCCAGCGGGGTGGGCTCCGTGCTGGGCAAGTCCGAGGAGCTGGTGGATCATTACCTGCCCATGACGGATGAGGAACTGGGTGAGCAGCTGGTCCCAACCCTCCAGAGAGGGTGGGCAGAGCAGGGGGGGCTCTGTGGGGTGGTGATGGTGGTGCTGGGACCCCCTGAGCAGCTCCTGTCCCACAGCCAAGCTGGCCACGGCCGTGGAGGGCTTCGAGCCGGAGCAGCAGAGGCAGCAGCAGAGCTACTTCGTTCGCCTGGGCTCCCTCTCCACCAAGGTGCAGCAGCGAGCGCTCCAGCACTCCCTGGCCAAACTGCAGAGTGCCCGCCAGAGCAGCCAGGACCTGCTGGCCCAGCTCCAGCGCACCCTCGACCTGGTAGGACCCAGCCCTGCACCCCCTGTGCCACCCTGGGGTGTGTCCCGGTGGCTCCTCCACCCAGGCGGGCTGTGCCCCTCTCCCAGGTGGAGCAGCTGAGGCAGGGCGTGGATCAGAGGCTGCAGGGCGGGCAGGAGAAGTTGCAGCAGCTGTGGCTGGAGTGGAGCAAGAAGCAGCCGGGCGGTGGCAAGGACCAGGTGCCACCGGAGGTAGGAGCAGGGCAGGGTGTCCCCAGGGTGTCCCCAGGGTGGCAGGGACCCCGGGGTGTCCCCCAGCCCTCACCCCCCGTGTCCCCCGTGCAGGCGGTGGAGTCGGGCACGCTGAGAATGCTGCAGGGCTTGAGCCAGCAGCTGCAGAGCTCCTGCCAGCCCCTGGTGTCCAGCCTGCAGGGCCTCCCCGCCACCGTGCAGGACACGGCGGGGCAGGTCCGGCACAACGTGGAGGAGCTGCGGGCGGCGCTGGCCTCGGTCACCTCCCTGCAGGACGTGACCGGGCCGGTGCTGGCCCGGGCCCGCAGCCACGCCGCCAAAGCCCGGCAGCTGATGGACGAGCTGGTGGAACATGTGGCCTTCAACACCCCCCTGACGTGGCTGGTGGGACCCTTCGCCCCCTCGGGCAAGCGCCCGGTGGAGATGGAGTAGCAGTTCTGGGCTGTTTCCCCCGTCCCCTCTGCCAAAAAAGCCTTTGCTAAACCCCCCCTACCCCTCGCCTTGTGCCTGCCTCTGTGGGGACCCTGCTGCCTGCCCCAGCTCTGTCCCTCGTCCCCCCTTGCTGGGGACCTGCAGTTTTGTGCCTTGGCTGCCCCAAGTGCCTGTTGGGGTCCCCCATGTCCTCAGTGCCTTCAAACCCCCACCCTTGTAAGGCCAAAACAGCACAAGAAATAAACTCTGGTTAGTTTTGCACTGGATTGAGGTTTCTTTGGGGGTGTAGGAGGGGGGAATTGGGCTCTGGAGGAACAACTCCCTCCCCAAGACCTGGGGACCCCCATGTCCTGAGCCCCCATTCCCCAGACCCCCCCTCAGCCCCCGTGGGAGCAGGGCTGGGAGGAGAGGACCTGGCAGTGGGATCAGGAGTGGGGTCCTGGAGGGGACCTCCCACTTCCCAGCAGTTGGGCAAGAGGCACTCAGGGTGTTTTTGGGCTTTTTTGGGTCTTGTTTATAAAACCCATCCTGGAAAAAGAAAAAGCAAAGTGTCCCCAGGGCAGATTTCCTGCAGCCTGCAGGAGGAGGGGTCGGGCACAAAGAGCAGGCGGCGCCGGAGGAGCCGGGAGTTCTTTATTGAACACGGACAAAAGCTCTGGAGCGTTGCAACAGAGCAGAGACCAGCACTGAGCTGCTGGCCAGCACGGGCAGCATGGTGCCAGGGTCACTCCTGGCACAGTCAGGAGAGAACACACCCTTTTTACCCTTATTTTACCCCAAGAAGTTGGTGCCCAGCCCTGCTGCCATCCCTGGGGGCAGAGGGGTTTGGCTCCAGCAGCTGCCTCTGGATGGAGAGAGGATTGTGATGGTGGGGAAAGGGGCTTGGAGCAGCCCCTGAGTGCCTGATCTCGGTCAGAGGGAATTTGGGGACCCATGGGTGTTTTCCAGCCCTGACCCCGGGCAGGGGGTTAAGGTCCTCCCCTCGTCCCAGACAGAGATGCCTCAAGAAAGAGACACTGGGGTTCCTTCTGCTTTTCATTAGAAAACCCTTTATATTCATTTCATGTCGGTTGAAATCACAAGAAATTAGGTAGGAGGGAAAAAAACAAAACGAAACAAAAATTAAAAACGGGGGGGGGGGGGGGGGACAGGGGGACAAATACAGACACCAGCACAGCCCCCCCGCAGGTGGTGCCTCCGCAGGGATGGGACACGGGACAAGACCAAGGACATCGGCTACGGTGGGACTTAGTGAAGTGACTCAGGCTGCTCATCCCTTCACAGCCTCTCCTCCTCCTCCTCCTCCAGGTGGGAGCTGCTTCCTCAGCTCTCCTCCTCCTCCTCCTCCTCCTCATCCGCAGCCTCCGACTCCCCGCGAGCTCGCTCCAGCCCGGCCTTGGGATAGTCCTGGACACTGCTGGGGGAGAGCAGGGGCAGGGAGAGCTCAGCCCCCGCCCCTCTGCCTCTCCTGGCTCCTCTCCCACATTCCAGCTCCTTCCCAAGCTGGGAAAATCCTTTCACAACTCACAGGATGTCCCCGAATCATCCCGGCAGAGCCCAGCGATCCCAGCCCTGCCCCCCACACTCACTTGTTGTGGGGCTCCTCTGTGGATGCCTCCAGCTCCCCAGCTCCTGGCCCTTGGCTCTTCTCCTTCTCCTCTGTGCCCTCTGACTTTTGGGACAGGGATTCACCATTCACAGGACCTGACAGGTCTGAAGGGAAGAGAGAAAAGTTCAGGCTCTTGGACCCCTCATCCATCCCGACCCTCGTGCACTCATGGCCACAGACATGCAGCCAAGCCTGAGTGAACCCCAGTACTGGCCTGAGCCCCAGAGCTGCAAGAAGGGCCCCAAAACCTCCACCCCCCAGCCCAGAGACACCATCAGGGTGGATTTTCCCTGTCAGTTCCTCTGGGAAGGCTCTTGCAGCACCACCAGGACAGCCCCGGGCAGAGACCTGGCTCTGAGGATGGAAGATCCCAGTCACCACTCCCTGTGCAAGAGCCTGAGCCAGTGTCCAAGGACATCTCCACATTCCTTCATGCCTGGGCCAGAGCTCAGGCTGGCAGGAGGAGCTGTCCTGAGCCAAAATTCAGCATGGAGGCCCCCAGAGCCTGGGTGTGGGGCTCGAGGTTTGCCCTCTGCCCTCACTGCATTCTCCATCCAGCCCTTTCCCACTCCTGGCACTCCAGCAAAGCAAGGCCTGGAGGTGCTGATCCCTCCCCCACGGGGCCAACAGCCATCTCCCCCTGTCCTGTGTCCCCAGCAGCACGGGGCATGCCCCAGGGAGGGGACAGGGACCTTCCCAGACAGGGCAGGGAATGCTCCCGGGACGTTCAGCAATGCTCAGCAACGTTACCAGCGTTTGTCTCCTCTTCCCCCTTCTCATTCCGTGTCTCTGCTCCCGACAGCTTCTCCTGGCCCTTCTCTGCCTCCCCCTTGTCCTTCTCAGGCCCAGCTTTGTTGGCTTTCTGGATGGATTCCATCTTTGGTCCCAGCACACGCGACTTCAACCGGGTGTAGACTTCGGCCGCTTTTTCCATCACGTCCTTGTTGGCTTTGTAGCGACGGATCTGCCCCGGGGAGCAGGAGGGACCCCTTAGAGCTGGGGCCAGGCAGGCCCCCTGCTCGCCCCAGGGAGGGCTCAGCCCTCTGCTCTACCTTCTTGAGCGTAGCCACCACATCCGTGTGCTTCTGGAGGATGTGGGAAGTGACCTGGAGCGTGCCCAGCTCCTCCAGTGCGTTCAGACACCGCTTGATGTCCTGCACGGATGGCAGCGGGATCAGGAGCTGCCCTGAGGGCACCTCGGGCCCCCCAGAACCCCCAGAAGGAGGAGGAGGAGCATTCCCAGGTGTCACAGCAAGGCAAGGATGAGCAGGGGTGTCCCAGGCCATCGGCACTCACCGGGTTATCCACCTTCAGCGCAAACTTGATCTCGCTGTGAAGTTTCTGGAGTTTCTCTTCGACTGTGGGCTCTGGAGCAGAGAGACAGACACAGGCCGAGATATCAGGGCAGCAGCAGAGCCCACGGCCCTGCCCAGAGCCCAGGATCTGCTCTGGGGCCTGGAATCACTCCCAGGCAGGGGTTTGTGTCCTCCTGCACGTCCAAAGCTGAGCACAGTCCCACGGGTGTCACTGGAGAAGATGGGTTGGGGTGTGCCAAGATAGGGAGGAGATGCCAGGGAAGTGATCCTGGGATCACAGCAGTGCTGGGAAAAACCCTGGCACAACCTCAGCGATTCCTCCTTGTCCCAGGGGATGGGGGAACCAACCCTGGAGCCCTCCCCTCTCTCTCCTCCCCTCTGTGATGGGAAGCAGTGGCTCTCTCACCCTTTTTCTTCTCCATCCTCCTTTCAGGGATCGGGTCGGATTTCTTCCGGCCTCGTTCCACTTTCAGAGGTCTGCGTGAAGGGAAGGAAAATGGGAAGATGGTTGTGGTGAGCCCCCTGCTCACCACGGGGCTAACAAGGGGGATGGCAGTGGCTGGAGCATCCAAGACCCCTCCACCCTGCTCACAGCTCCCTGTGCCCCAGCTTCCCAGGAATGCAGAGAGGAAAAGCCTCACGAGAAAGAAAACACCACGGAATGTCATCCTGGTAACCCCCAACAGCTCCTCCAGCCCCTTCAGCTCAGGAGGAGGGGAGGAGCAGCCCCAGCCCCTCTGCAGGTGCTGCAGCCCCGTGAGCCCCATCCCCACCCCGGGGTGCCAGGGCTGGAGCCGTGCAGGGACAGCCCCATTCCCAGGAGGAAAGGGGAAGGAGGGAGGGAGATGTGGAGATGCTGACTTGTTCCGTGGCTTCTCCTCTGCTCGGCCTCTCTTCTCCTTCTGATTTGGTTTCCTTGACAACTCCGAGGGCTGTTTCTTCGCCGGCTTCTTTACCTTGGAGGAGAGAACAATGCAGGGAGAGAGGCAGGGCCCTCCCTGCCGCGGCGCAGACGGAGCCACGGCCACGCCACAACGGCACCCATGGCCACCCCACTGCCATGGCACAGCATCACCCTACATGTTCCCAAAGAATCCAGGGGCACAGCAGAGCAAACCCCAAGACTGTGGTGGAAGAGCGTCTTGGAGATCATGGAATGGTTTGGGTTGGAAGGGAACACAAAGCTCACCCCATCCCACCCCTGGCATGGCCAGGGACACCTTCCACTGTCCCAGGGTGCTCCAAGCCCCATCCAAACTGGTCTTGGATGCTTCCAGGGATGGAGCAGTCACAGCTGCTCTGCTCACCCTGTGCCAGATGTGAGGCCCACAGCTGGATGAGGCATCCTGGGCCAGAGGAGGAGCTCCCACTCCAAGCCATGGATACCACCCTTCCCAACACCATGTGGGCAGCTGCAGGCTAACCCAAGACCACGAGGGCAGGTCCCTGGAGGTCCCTGATGGCTGACAGGGAGGTGACAGGTTGTCCATCCACCCCCAGGCCCCCAGAGCTCCACACTCACCTCCTTCTCCTGCTCCAGCTCAGAGTCCGAGGAGGACGGAGCCTTGGCCCGGCCCCTCCGGCCCTTTTTGGCCATTTCATCCTCGGCGCTGCTGTCCGAGTCCGAGTGCACCTCCTCGCTCTTCTCTGCCTTCTCCTTCCTTTTCTCCTTCTCCTCCTTCTCCTGCTCCCGGAGCCGACGGATCTCCTCCTCCTGCTCCCTCTTCCTCTTCTCCTCCAGCTCCCGCCGCCGCTCCTCGTCCCGCCTCTTCCACTCGCTGATGCGATCCACGTCGCTGTCGCTGTCACTGCCGGGACAGGGCAGGCTCGCACCCCTGCGTCACCCCCAGCCCAGCCCAAGGGTGACAGCGTCCCAGCTGAGCTCACCTGTCACTGCTGGAGCTGCTGGGGACACGCTCGGGCTTCGGTTTCCTGCCCCGGGGCTTGGGAGGGGGTTTCTCAGCTGCAAGACAGAAGGGACGTGTTCAGCAGGAGCCCCGGTTAAAGCAGCTTAGAATGTGCCCACAGTTTGGGATGGGACCCTAGAGCATTGGGAATGCCCAAGCTGCCACACTCCCACCCCAAGGTGCTGGCAGGAGAAGGAGCAGGAGAAGAAGGAGAAGGAGAAGGAGAAGGAGAAGGAGAAGGAGAAGGAGAAGGAGAAGGAGAAGGAGAAGGAGAAGGAGAAGGAGAAGGAGAAGGAGAAGGAGAAGGAGAAGGAGAAGGAGAAGGAGAAGGAGAAGGAGAAGGAGAAGGAGAAGGAGAAGGAGAAGGAGAAGGAGAAGGAGAAGGAGAAGGAGAAGGAGCAGGGGCAGCCCCAGGGTACCTGGCTTGCG